GTGTGTGCCCCCGTGAGCTGCAGGCCTGCTGTGCTTGTGTCTGCCCCCTGCCAGTCCTCCGGGTGCTGCCAGCCGTCCTGCCCCACCCTGGTCTGCAGACCCATCTCCTGTAGCTCCCCTTGCTGCTATTGACCACGAGTCCCTTCTCAGCTGCATCAGTGCAGACGGGTCCTCACCTGTACCCCTCCCTGAAAAATCCTCAATGGCCTTGCTGGTTCTGCACATGGCAGATGAAAAGCGTGCTCAACGGACCCTCAGAACTCTGATCGGGATCCCTCCATGACCTTGCACATCCCCTCAGGGAAGCCCTGGGTCTCGGGGACCTTCTCTGTCTCCGGCAGGAAGCCAAAACCTATGTGAACCAAATAAATCATGCTTTCCCAATGCAGCTTCTCCCTCTATTTTCTCTTCAGATATTTGTGAAGTTCTTTCCTTGCAGTTTACAAATCACAAGCAATCTTCCTGATGGCTTCCTCTTCCTGATGGCTCAGCTGAAGGTGTGGGGCCTTTGGTGGGTGGAGGGGGAAAGGAGATGTCCCCACCTTGGCCACCAGAGACTCACATCGTGGATAGGGAAGAGCAGAGGAAAAAAATTCTATCCTCCTGAGTAGGGGATTGGAATCAGGCCTGGGCCCCAAGTCCTCTGAGGAAACCTAGAGGATTACTACAAGACGGAGGGCAGGAAACTCTCACACAGTCCCCCCACAAATGCAAAGCGGAGTCTGGCATCCTAAGGAGGAGCGTCAGGGAGTGAGAGAGCCTCCTGCTCTAGGTCCCAGGCACAAGGGCCTGCTCAAGACTGACACTGGGACAGGATGGGAGAGGGCTCCCCTGCCTCCCGACTCGCCCGGCCAGCACAGCTGTGTGAGCAGCAGCCTCCACCTGCGAGGGGCCGCTGTGTGTTGAGGTTCCCTGGGGGTGCCACGCACGCCGGGGCAGCTGAAAACTTAGGAAGGAGCAAGAATGCTCTGCCTCCAGCCCTGGCCCTAAGCACAAGCCACCGGCAGCCCACCATAAGAGGAATCTGAAGTCTTAGGTGTCCTGAAGGTCATCAAAATAACAACAAAAGCCAAACCAAGGTCAGCATCTGACCAAGTTGCTTCAAACCACACACCCCTGCCCCCCACTGATGACCTGACAGAAGAGACACACCTATTTCCAGGAGGAAACAGTGTTTGTGTTCATTTCAATTAATATGTGATGTCTGCTATTCAATCAAAACTTAGATGTTCGAAAAAGCAGGGAAAAATCAGTCCACTCTCAAGAGACAAAGTAATCAACAAAACTGGGCTAAGAAATGACCCTGATGTTGGAGCTATCAGAGAGAAATCTTAAAATGACTATGACTAGCGCAATGAGCCAGAGAAAGACAAATACTGTATGATCTCGTTTAGATGTGGAATTAAAAACAAGAAAACTGTTGTCTTAGATCCAGATGCCTTCCTTGTGGTACCTGCTGCTTCTCCTCTGCTCCGTCTCTGTGGTTTTCTTCCTGGAGTTTGCAGTTCAAGTGACGCAGTTCAGGAAGCTCCTCCTCAGCTGGAACTCACTGTGATTCAGTGGATATGTGGTGTCTGGAATTGGAGCCCAGATTGCATGATGAAGGGCCGTCAGTTGGGACAGGGGGCCCCACATCATGATTTTCAAGGTCCTCGGCAATTTGAATACCCTGTCCTCTGTCTGCACAGGCACAGTCAGCCTTGCTTGACTGGAGGTCTCCCATTTTGCTTTGGAAACTCAGGGATCCGGAAGGTCTTCCCAACTGATGAGAGCCAAACTGTTGTATTCTTCACTGGGGGGTGCTGGGACCGTGTTATTGCAGTAAGAATAATAATAACAAAGTTCCAGTTTTGACTAGATGCTGTGCTAAGCACTTTATGTGGATTATCGAATAATTGATTAGGTACCAACCTTTACTACCATTCGTTGGTGATACCCCATTGGTATAGGTACTCAATCAGGAAGATTTAGAAGGATTTCCTGATGTGGGCAGATTCTCATCACCACAGATGGGGAGGTGGCGTTTGCAGCTCTTGGTTTCACTCAGGAATCCATGGTCTTTATCATTTTGCTAAATTATGTGGGGGCTTTAGAGGTTCAATAATGACATATCCTGAAGTCCTGAATCAGCTGGGACAGACGAGAGCAAGGGGAAGGCAGATGACAGTATCAATCATTTTGGGTCCGTGGGGAGCATGGCTTCGGTGGATGAGCACCGTGGACGCCCAGCATCACACCTCAGCATTGCCCACCTAGTCAGGCAGCACTAGGTGGCTGCAGACAACCCCTCTGCAGGGGGCGCCCAGGGGGACCGAATGTGGAGCGAGGGGCTGAGCTGGCCATGCCGGATTCCTCTCCCCACCCAAGGATCCCATCATCCTGGCCCCTGCACAGCAGGTTTGGGAGAGAGTGGAGACAGCGTGGAGTTCCCTGATACTCCTCCACAGGGTGGGAGGCAGTGGGCTGGAGCGTGGATTCCGTGTTCCTCCTTGCCTCCCCTGGCTCTCTCTCCTCTTTCCACGTTGAACACAGCAGGTTCTCCATGGTGGGTGCCATTTCACAGGAGGTGGCCGTCCCTTGGGGCAGTGCTGCTCCCTCCTCCAGGGTCGTCTCTTTCGCACGATCTCCCTTTGACTGTGACCACAGGTCAAAACCATATTTAAAAGAAAGATTTCGGGACAGCCACACGTGACCACATGTCCAAATATGACCTAGTTACTGAGAAACACATTTAAATCAGTCAGTCTCCTTCAAGTTCATTACTAGATGAGCAAACACGATGCTCTCTTTTTGGCTTCCTGCTGTTTCAGGCTCTACCCGGGCCCGTTTCTGGTCTACCCAATGGGCGTCCTTCGGAATTGCTTGCAGCGCAAGTCAGCTCTTGAGGAATTCTGTCAGCTTTTGTTTATTGAAAATGTTTCATCTCACCCTCGGTTTTGAAGGATTTTTTTCCAGGGCCTCGCTATAGACTTCTTGATTGCCATATTTGTCTTCAGCGTTTTACTGATGTCCTCCCACGGCCTCCTGGCCTCCATTGCTTCTGATGAAACGTCAGCTGTTGTTACGGTTTTCCTTGTACGTCAAGGGTTTTTTTCGTTCACTGCTTTGAAGATTTTTCTGTCTCTTTTTGATTTTCATCTTTTGAACTAGTGTGTGCCCATATGTTTTTCTTTGTATTTGTCTTGCTTCAGGTTTTCTCGGATTCTTGGATCTGTAGGTTAGTATTTTTTAAAATCAAGTTTAGAAAAATTCGTCATTATTTCTTCAAAACATTTTCATGCTTCCCTATCATTCTCTTGTTTTCTGAGGATGCAGTTACATATGTGATAGACTCTTTGATATTGTCTCACAGGGACTTTTCATTTCTCTTACTTCTTCTTTCTTTCTCTTCTTCAGACTGGAGAATTTCTATTTACGTGTCTTCAGCTTCACTCACTCTTCTTCCGTCTTCCATCTGCTGTGAGTGCCCCCCCAGTGGACATTTAATCTCCAGTCTTGTGCTTTTCTGCTCTAGAATTCTCCTTTTTCACAGTCTGCATTTGTCTACTGAGATTTGCTGTCTGTTCCCTCATGGAAATGATGTTCCTTTAATTCGTGGAAGATAGTGCCTTTGATTCTTTAAACATATTTATAGTAGCTGCTCAAAGTTATTGTTTGCCAAGCCAATCTCAGGTCCTTTCTATTGAGTGATTTTTTCTTTAACTGTGAGTTACATTTTCCTTTATCTCCTTATGTCTAGTGATTTTTGATTGTATATTGGAAATTATGATAGTACGTTTTGGGAGCGTGTGTTCTATTGTCTCTTACTGACCATTGATTTTTTCTACCAGACAGTCTGTTACTTAGTGCTCGCCTTGAACTCCTGCAGGCTTGGTTTTACACTCTGTTAGGGTGGATTGGAGGTAAGTCCAAAGTGCTTCCTAAGCTCGATACCTTGGTGGGACTCAACTTCCAAACTGTGTTCCTGGGAGAATCTGGCTGTGGGTTGGCTGGGCTTTGTAGGGCAGGTCTAGAGTATGTCTTACCCTGGGCTGTGGTCCCTCCTCCTTAGCTACGACGGTACGGGTGTCAATGGCATGCTAGGGGCGTCCACTCTCAGTCCTATAGCAGCTCCTCAGTGTTAAGCCTCTGGAGATCTTTCCCTGAGTATAGACAACCCACCTTCTTCCAAGATTTACAGGGGCCTCTCACCCAGACTCCTGCACAGGTCCCTTCTTTTTGACGCCCCCACTCTTCTCATTCTAGGTGCTGCCACTGCCCAACGCTGAGCTCTTTCTCCTCAGCAGAGCAGGGTCTTCATATTCTGCTCCAACTCAAGCTCACTGTTCTGCATTTGGGAAGTTGGCCCCAGGCAGAGACCTGGTCTGGGTGCCCGTGGAGCTCATCTTGTACGCTTCTTTTCTCTCAGGAGTCACAGTCTGTTCTGCTTGTTGACCACGGCCTGAAAAGGATGTCTCTTCATTTTCCCTGAGTTGTAGAGTTGATGGGAGGGCTTGTCTGGTACTAGTCATTCTGTGAAGTTTTCCCAGTATTGTTTTGTTCTCCATATTCATCTTCTGGGTAGTCTCGAAGGTTCGTGGTCCATGCAACAGTGGTAGTGGTTTGAGGAGGTCTTTGGGTACCATTCCTCTTTGTCTCAGTGTGGAAGCAATGGAGAGAGGCAGCTGTCAGGCAGGTGGAGCAAAATCCACCTGCTGTCACTGAGATAACAGTTGGAGGACTTGGCTGGGAGCGTGATTTCTAGAACTGAATGAAGCGGATTCTTCCATTGGGACAGGCCATCCTGGAAAACCACAGACCACCCACGGGGTCCGACTCTGTGTGTTGAGATTGCCCTGGCCAAGCAGTGCAGACCAGTGTTCCCTGCAGGGAGGCAGGCAGGTCTCACGCCTTTTTCCAGGGTCACCCCTGTGGTGATCCTCGCCCCTCTGCCAGGGGTAGTGAGGAGTGGGTGGGTGTAGGGTGGGCCCAGAGTGTAGTGGGTGTCTCCCCTGTGGAGAACTCAGGAGTGGGGCACAAACAGGTCCTGCCCATGAGTGTGTGTCTGGGCCCAGGCGGCTGTGCATTTGTGGAATGCGTGCACCACACTGAACTGTGTGTCAGTGTATAGGGACCTGCTGCAGAGAAATCTTGTAAATCCAGCCCTGGGTCTGTCACCTCAGGAGCTACTTGTTCAGAAATACCATCTACTGCATTAACTTCTCAAAACTCCCTCACTCAAGGGTGGAGTGGAGGCGAAGTAAAAGGGACCTTGAATTGTAAAAATGGTACAGAGGGTTATCCAACTTCATAATCCATGCTTTACAGTCGGCAGCACCGGGGAGGGCAGACTGTACTGCATGAGACTCACTCTGCCACCCTCCCTGTGGGCTCCACGGGGCTGTGGAAGGACAGGAAGAGCCCCAGGGAGGAGGCAAGAGCATTGCTGGACTCCAGGGACTGTGTTCCCTCCCCTTGGCTGTCCCAAACAGGCAGTGCAAAGACCCGCTCCCAGACAAGGCACCCCCATACCCAGGTCCCAAGTGACCCCGTGGTGACATCCGCAGGCCACACAGCTGCCTGGGGTGCTCTGCTGGAAATGTCCAGAGTCGGACCTTCCACATCCAGCCCACATCTCTCCAGCCGCAGCCCCCAGGTGCCCTCCACTCGCCCCTGCACACATCCCTGGGGAGTGTTGGGTCGAGCTGTGCTCTTTGTGGGGCTGTGTCTCCATGCAGGAGGTCACTGGCTTTCTTCATCTCCCTTCTCTAACTGTGAGGCTTCCTCCAGACAAAGATCCAAGGTCACCCCTCCCACAAGTTCTCTGTGACCACACCCTTCAGTCTGCACTTGCCCTTTAGGTGCGAGGTCTCCGTCTCCTTCCTGTGCAGCCACCAGGCCAGCCCTCAGTCCAGCTCGAAACCCCAGGACACACTCCGGTTTCCGGGTGTAACAAGAGCTGGAGGAAGGGGCAATTAGTCATGAGGTTAGAGCCAAGCCAACAACACAACGTCTACACCACAGACCAAGTTCTGGGAGCCAGGCTGGAAGAAGCAAAACAAGGAAGACAACATCGTGTCCCGTGTTGTGTAGACACCTGCCGCTCGGGTATAAAGGCCGCCCCGGGAAGGAGCCTGCAGACACCACTGCCCTCCTGCTCCACAGCAGCCCAGCCCCACGCCAGCATGTGCCACACCAGCTGCTCCTCAGGCTGTCAGCCGGCCTGCTGCACACCCAGCCCCTGCCAGGCGTCCTGCTGTGTGCCCGTGAGCTGCCAGCCAGCCGTGTGCTCACCTGTGAGCTGCCAGCCAGCCGTGTGCTCACCTGTGAGCTGCCAGCCCTCCGTGTGTGTGGCCCGCACCTGCCAGTACTTCTTGCGCGTGCCTGTGAGGTGCAAGCCCACCGTGCTTGTGGCTGCCCCTTGCCAGTCCTCTGGGTGCTGCCAGTCCTCCGTGTGTGGGGCCCCCTCCTGCCAGTCCTTCGTGCGTGTGCCTGTGAGCTGCAAGCCTGCCATACTTGTGGCCCCCTCCTGCCAGTCCTCTGGGTGCTACCAGCCGTCCTGCCCCACCCTGGTCTGCAGACCCATCTCCTGCAGCTCCCCTTGCTGCTATTGACCGCGAGTCCCTTCTCAGCTGCATCAGTGCAGATGGGTCCACACCTGTAGCCCTCCCAGAACGAGTGGGCCTCCAGCTTCTGCACACGGCAGATGGAAAGCGTGCTCACCGACCCCTCTGAACTGCATGGTGAGGATGTGGCAGGATGATCTGGATCCCTCCTTGACCTGCCCATCCCCTCACGGAAGCCCTGGCTCCCAGGGTCCTTCTCTGTCTCCAGCAGGAAACCAAACCTCCTTGTGAGCAAAATAAATTGTGATTTCCAATGCAGCCTGTCTGTCTATTTTATCTTCATATACATTTTTGGAGATTGACACCTGAGCTGACAAGTGTGTCCAATCTTCTTTTTTTTCCCCTGCTTTTTCTCCCCCAATTCCCCCCAGTACACATTTGTATATTTCAGTTGTGGGTCTTTCTAGTTGTGGCATGTGGGATGCAGCCTCACCATGGCCTAATGAGCAGTGCCATGTCCACGCCCAGGATCTGAACTGGTGGAAACCTGGGCCGCCGAGGAGGAATGCACAAACTTAACCATTCAGCCACAGGGCCAGCCCCATTGTGTTCACAGCAGAATGTGTGAACTTAACCACTCCGCCACGGGGCCGGCCCCATTGTGTTCATATATTTTGAAGTTCTGTCCTTGAAGGTGTTTACAAATCACAGGGACAGTAGCCCCTCCACTGAGCCCCCTTCCCGATGGCTCAGCTCATGGTGGGGTGGTCCTCGGTCGGTGGAGGGAGTGAGGAGGAGGTGCTCTCCCCATGCTGAGCCCCCTGAGACTTGCAGTGTGCATGGGGAAGGGCAGAGGGAACAATTGCCTCCCCCTCAGTGGGTCCCGCATGGTCCTTAAAGGATTACTACAAGACGGGGTGCAGGAAACTCTCACACACCCCTCAAATACAAAGCAGAGTCTGGCCGTCCCAAGGAGGAGTGAGAGGAGTTGAGAAAACTTCACCCCCCAGGTCCCAGGAACAATGGCCTGCTGAAGATGACACTTGAACAGGACACCAGAGAGCCCTCCTGCCTCCTGTCTCACCTGGCCAGCACAGTGGTATGAGCAGCATCCATCGCCACCTGGAAAGGCTGATGGGTGTTCAGTGCCCCTTCATGTGCCACCTCTCAGGGGGAGCTGACAACTTCGGGCAGAGCAGGAGGTCTGTTCCCCCAGCTGTGACCCTAAGCAGAAGCTGCCAGAAGCCCGTTGCAGGAGGAATCGGAAGTCCTTGGTACCATGAAAGTCATCACTAGAACAAGAAAACCCAAACCAAGGCCACCATCTGACCAGGCTGATTCAAACCTCCCCACACAGAAACTGCTGACCTGACAGAAGAAGAGACACACCCACTTCCAGGAGGATAGTGTTCATGTCCATTTAGATTAATACACGATATCTGATATTCAGCGAAACTTAGAAGCCATTCAACAAAGCAGGGAAACATCAGTCCATTGTCAAGAGACAAAGTAATCAACAAAACTGGGCTCGGAAATGACCCAGATGTTGGAGCCAACAGACTGAAACCTTAAAATAACCATGAGCAGTGAAAGAAGCCAGGCCGAGAGAGACAAGTAATGTTTGCTCTCCCTTCTGTGTGGGATCTCTGAAAACCCCGAACCCATAGATACAGACGCCTTCCTGGTGGTTGCCTGGTTGTTTTCCTCGTCTTCCTCTACTTGGGTCTCTTCTTGGAGTTTCTGGTTGACGTGACCCAGTTCAGGAAGCTCCTCCCCTCTGGAGACTCCCCGTGGCTCACTGGCCATGTGGTTTCTGGAATCGGAGCCCAGGTGTGATGGTGAAGGGCCGTCATTGGGGACAGGGTCCCCACACCATGATTTTCAAGGTCCCTCCTAAGTTTAAATGTGGTGCCGTCTGTCTGCACAGGCACAGTCATACTCTCCAGGCTGTGGGTCCCCCATTTTGAGTTGGAAACTCAGGGATCCAGAAGGTCTTCCCAGCTGACAAGAGCCACAGGATTTGGCTTGTCACTGGGCAGTGTGGGGACCACACTATCACAGTAACAACCATGTAGTGAGTTCCCGCTTTGTGCCTGGCAGTGTGCTGAGAATCTTATGTGGATTATCTCATAATGCAACAGTTACCAATCTTTAACACCATTCAAGGGGTCAGTGATGTCCTATTGCACACACGTTCAATCAGGAAGATTTAGAAGGATTTCCTGATGTGGGCAGATTCTCATCACTGCAGATGGGGAAGTGGCATTTGCAGTTCTCGGTTTCACTCTGGGATTCCGTGGTCTTCATCATTTTGCCCAATTATGTGGGGGCTTTAGAGGTTCAATAATGACATATCCTGAAGTCCTGAATCAGCTGGGACAGATGAGAGCAAGGGGAAGGCAGATGACAGTATCAATCATTTTGGGTCCGTGGGGAGCATGGCTTCGGTGGATGAGCACCGTGGACGCCCAGCATCACACCTCAGCATTGCCCACCTAGTCAGGCAGCACTAGGTGGCTGCAGAAAACCCCTCTGCAGGAGGCGTCCAGGAGGACGGAATGTGGAGCGAGGGGCTGAGCTGGCCATGCCGGATTCCTCTCTCCACCCAAGGGTCCCTTCATCCTGGCCCCTGCACGGCAGGTTTGGGAGAGAGTGGAGACAGCATGGAGTTTCCTGACGCACCCTCACAGGGCGGGAAGAAGTGGGCTGGAGCGTGGATTCCATGTTCCTCCTCACATCCCCTGGCTCTCTGTTCTCTTTCCACACGGGCCACAGCACATTGTTCCATGGGGGGTGTCATGTCGTGGGAAGCGGTTATCTCTCAGGGCAGCAGTGTTCCCTCCTCTGAGGCTGTGCCCATAGGACCCTCTGCACCTGGTCTGGGCATGGGGACTCCCCCACGAAGCCCTGGGTTGAGTCACACATCCCAGTATTGTCACTCCAGGGTTGAAGACCACTTGGGCTAAAGCATGGTCAGAAGTTGGAAAACCAGGGAACCAGAGCCTCCGTGAGACCACACAGTGGGATGACCTTGAGCTTGATGGACAAGCCACAAGTCCACGAGGTCAGCTCTTCCATGCTCCTCCTGTGGCCCTGACTACAGGTCAAAACCACGCTTAAGGAGAATTTGGGGCAGCCACATGTGACCACATGTCCCAATATGCCCTAGTTCCTGAGGGACACATTGAAAACAGTCCATTGCCTTCTGGTCTATTACTAGCTGAGTGAACGGGAGTCGTTGATATTTACCCTGCTGAAGGTTTGGATGCACCTGCGTCCATTTCTGTCCTCCCTAATGGGCATCCTTCAGTGTTTCTTATAGTGCAGATCTGTTGGTGAGGAATCTCTCAGCTTTTGTTTATTGAAAATGTTCCATTTCACCCTCAATTTTGTAGGATTGTTTTTTATCCTAGAGGTTAGATATAGAAGTCTTGCTTGGCACTTTCGGCTTCTGCATTTTAGTGATGTCATCCACTGCCTTCTGGCCTCTGTTACTTCCGATGTCAGGTGTTGTTATCTTTTTTCTTGCATGTAAAGTGGTTTTTCTCTCATCACTTTTTAGATTTTTCTCCTCATTTTTGGTTTTCATCGCTTTAACTACAACGTGCCCAGATATATTATTCTTCGTATATATCTTTCTTTGGGTTTCCAAGATTCTTGGATCTCTAAGTAGGTTTTTTTTAAAATCATGTTTAGGAAAGTTGTTCATTATTTCTTCAAACCATTTTCATGCTTCCCTATCATTCTCTTGTTTTCTGAGGCTGAAGTGACATATCTGATGGACTCTTTGATATTGTCTCACAGGCTGTTTTCATTCTCTTAATTCTCCTTTCTTTGTCTTCTTCAGACTGGAGAATTTCTATTCAAATGTCTTCACATTCACCTCTCTTCTAACACCTTCCAGCTGCTGTGGCCCCCCCACCCCCGCGCCCCCACCGCCACCGCGTTTACTTTCCACTCTTGGGTTTTTCTGTCCTAGAATTCTCCTTTTTTCATGGCTTCCATTTCTCTGCTGAGATTTTGTATACGTTCACCTGTGGAAATCGTATTTTCCTTTAAATCTTTGAAGATATCTCCTTTGATTCTTTAAACACAGTTAGAATAGCTGCTCTAAAGTCATTGTTTGCCCAGCCAATATCTGGACCATCTCAGGTTTCATTTCTATGTATTGATTTCTTTCTTTAACTGGAAATTACATTTTCGTGCATCTTTTTATGTCTAGTGATTTTTGCGTGTGTACTTGGAATTGTGGCAATACTTTCAGAGAGTGTGCAGTCTGCTGTCTTTCCTGAGTGTTGATTTTTGTTCTAGCAGACAGTCTGTTTCCAGGTGCTCACCTTGAACTCGTGCAGGCTTGGTTTTACGCTCTGTGAGGGTGGATCTGAGGACAGTCTGAAGTGCTTTGTAAGCTCTGTACCTTGGAGGGACTCAGCTTCCAAAGTGTGTCCCCAGGAAATCTGGTCATGGCTTGGCTGGGCTTCGTTAGGGTAGGTCTAGAGTAGGTCTTACTCTGGGGCCTGGTCCCTACTCCTTAGATGCAACTAGGTGAGATCTCAGTGGGCTGCTGGGGGAGCCCACTCTCAGTCCTGTAGAAGCTTGTCAGTGCTCATCCTCTGGACGTCTTGCCCTGAGGACAGACAGCCTGCCGTCTTGCACAGATTTACAGGGGGCTCTCACACACTTACACAAAGGGTCTAGCCCGGGGGAGGACGGAAGAGACATTGCTGGACTTCATTGAGAGAGTGACTGTGTTCCCTCCCCTTGGTTGGCCAAAACAGGCAATGCAAAGACCCAGTGCCTGACTTGGCAACTCCTTGCCCTAGTCCCAAGTGACCCCATGGGGGCATCTGCAGGCCAAAGGGGTTCCAGTGGTGCTGCCCTGGACATGTGCAGAGACGGGCCTTCCACTACCAGCCCACACCTCTCCTCTCCCCTCTCCCCAGGGCACCCTCCACCTGCCCCTCCACACATCCCTGGTGCACACTGGGTCTGGCTCTGCTCTTTGTGGGGGTTCCTGTCCATGCAGCAGGACCACTGGCTGTGTTCATCTCCCTTCTCTAAGTGTGGGGCTTCCTGTGGACATGGATCCAAGGTCACACCTCCCAGAAGTTCTCTGTGACCACAGCCTTCAGTTTGCACTTGTCCTCTGGACGATGGTCTCTGTCTCCCTCTTGGTTGCCTGCTAGTGCTGGACTCGAGCTCGAAGCTGCCATGAGACGCTGTGCTCTCCTTGGTCTTCCCAAGACCCTTCCTGACCCACTGAGGACGCTGTTCCAGGACCATCGTCACACAGAGAGGGAAATTGGGAGATGCACATTTTTGGATTCACACAAACTAATTCATGTAAAATGCTAAGGAACAAGGCAGAATCCAGATGGGGCCAGTAGGACGTACAGCAGGTTTCCGGGTGCAAGAAGAGCTGGAGGAAGGGGAAGTTAGTCATGAGGCGAGAGCCAAGCCACCAACACGACGTCTACACCACAGATCAAGTTTTGGGTGCCAGCCTGGAAGAAGCAAAACAAGGAAGACAACATCATGTTCCATGTTGTGTAGACACTTGCCGCTCGGGTATAAAGGCCGCCCCGGGAAGGAGCCTGCAAACACCACTGCCCTGCTCCTCCACAGAAGCCCAGCCCCACGCCAGCATGTGCCACACCAGCTGCCCTTCAGTCTGTCAGCCGGCCTGCTGCACACCCAGCCCCTGCCAGGCATCCTGCTGTGTGCCAGTGAGCTGCCAGCCTGCCGTGTGCACACCTGTGAGCTGCCAGCCAGCTGTGTGCACACCCGTGAGCTGCCAGCCCTCCGTGTGTGTGGCCCCCACCTGCCAGTACTTCTTGCGTGTGCCTGTGAGGTGCGAGCCGACCGTGCTTGTTTCTGCCCCCTGCCAGTCCTCTGGGTGCTGCCAGCCCTCCGTGTGTGGGGCCCCCTCCTGCCAGTCCTTCGTGCGTGTGCCTGTGAGCTGCGAGCCTGCTGTGCTGGTGTCTGCCCCCTGCCAGTCCTCTGGGTGCTGCCAGCCATCCTGCCCCACCCTGGCCTGCAGACCCATCTCCTGCAGCTCCCCTTGCTGCTATTGACCACGAATCCCTTCTCAGCTGCTCTCCTTGCTGATGGGTCCACACCTGTACCCTCCCGGAACGAATGGGCCTCCAGCTTCTGCACGCGGCAGATGGAAAGCATGCTCAGCAACCCCTCTGAACTCCGGGGTGAGGATGTGGCAGGATGACCTGCCCGTCCCCTCAGGGATGCCCTGTCTCCCAGGGTCCTTCTGTGTCCCCAGCAGGAAACCAGCCCCATTGTGAGCAAAATAAATTGTGCTTTCCCAGTGCAGCCTGTCTGTCTATTTTATCTTCATATGTATTTTTAAAGATTGACACCTGATCAGACGAGGGTGTCCAATCTTCTTTTCTTTTTTCCCCTGATCTTTTGCCCCAAATCCTCCCAGTACATACTTGTATATTTCAGTTGTGCGTCCTTCTAGTTGTGGCATGTGGGACGCAGCCTCAGCATGTCCTAAGGAGTGGTGTCGTGTCCGCGCCCAGGATGTGAACCAGCGAAACTCAGGGCTGCCACAGCAGAATGTGTGAACTTAACCACTCGGCCACGGGGCCGGCCCCATTGTGTTCATATATTTTGAAGTTCTGTCCTTGAAGGTGTTTACAAATCACAGGCCCTGTAGCCCCTCCACTGAGCCCCCTTCCCGATGCCTCAGCTGATGGTTGGGGTGGTCCTCGGTCGGTGTAGGGAGTGAAGAGGAGGTGCTGTCCCCATGCTGAGCCCCCTGAGACTTGCAGTGTGCATGGGGAAGGGCAGAGGGAACAATTGCCTCCCCCTCAGTGGGTCCTGCATGTTCCTTAAAGGATTACTACAAGATGGGGTGCAGGAAACTCTCACACACCCCTCAAATACAAAGCAGAGTCTGGCCGTCTCAAGGAAGAGTGAGAGGTGTTGAGAAAACCTCGTCCCCCAGGTCCCTGGAACAAGGGCCTGCTGAAGATGACACTTGGACAGGACACCAGAGAGCCCTCCTGCCTCCCATCTCACCTGGCCAGCACAGCGGTGTGAGCAGCATCCATCGCCACCTGGAAAAGCAGATGGGTGTTCAATGCTGCTCCATATGCCACCTCTCAGGGAGAGCTGAGAACTTCGGGCAGAGCAGGAGGTTTGTTCCCCCAGCTCTGGCCCTAAGCAGAAGCTGCCAGAAGCCCGTTGCAGGAGGAATCGGAAGTCCTTGGTACCATGAAAGTCATCACTAGAACAAGAAAACCCAAACCAAGGCCACCATCTGACCAGGCTGATTCAAACCTCCCCACACAGAAACTGCTGACCTGACAGAAGAAGAGACACACCCACTTCCAGGAGGATAGTGTTCATGTCCATTTAGATTAATACACGATATCTGATATTCAACGGAACTTAGAAGCCATTCAACAAAGCAGGGAAACATCAGTCCATTGTCAAGAGACAAAGTAATCAAGAAAACTGTGCTCAGAAATGACCCAGATGTTGGAGCCAACAGACTGAAACCTTAAAATAACCATGAGCAGTGAAAGAAGCCAGGCCGAGAGAGACAGGTAATGTTTGCTCTCCCTTCTGTGTGGGATCTCCGAAAACCCCGAACCCATAGATACAGACGCCTTCCTGGTGGTTGCCTGGTTGTTTTCCTCGTCTTCCTCTACTTGGGTCTCTTCCTGGAGTTTCTGGTTGACGTGACCCAGTTCAGGAAGCTCCTCCCCTCTGGAGACTCCCCGTGGCTCACTGGCCATGTGGTTTCTGGAATCGGAGCCCAGGTGTGATGGTGAAGGGCCGTCATTGGGGACAGGGTCCCCACACCATGATTTTCAAGGTCCCTCCTAAGTTTAAATGTGGTGCCGTCTGTCTGCACAGGCACAGTCATACTCTCCAGGCTGTGGGTCCCCCATTTTGAGTTGGAAACTCAGGGATCCAGAAGGTCTTCCCAGCTGACGAGAGCCACAGTGCTGGGCTCCTCACTGGGGAGTGTGGGGACAACGTTGTCACAGTAACAACCATGTAGTGAGTTCCCGCTTTGTGCCTGGCAGTGTGCTGAGAATCTTATGTGGATTATCTCATAATGCAACAGTTACCAATCTTTAACACTATTAAAGGGGTCGGTGATGTCCTATTTGCACACACGTTCAATTAGGAAGATTTAGAAGGATTTCCTGATGTGGGCAGATTCTCATCACCACAGATGGGGAAGTGGCGTTTGCAGTTCTTGGTTTCACTGTGGATTCCGTGGTCTTTATCATTTTGCCCAATTATGTGGGGGCTTTAGAGGTTCAATACTGACACATCGTGAAGTCCTGAATCAGCTGGGACAGACGAGAGCAAGGGGAAGGCAGATGACAGTATCAATCATTTTGGGTCCGTGGGGAGCATGGCTTCGGTGGATGAGCACCGTGGACGCCCAGCATCACACCTCAGCATTGCCCACCTAGTCAGGCAGCAGTGGGTGGCTGCAGAAAACCCCTCTGCAGGGGGCGCCCAGGAGGACGGAATGTGGAGCGAGGGGCTGAGCTGGCCATGCCGGATTCCTCTCTCCACCCAAGGGTCCCTTCATCCTGGCCCCTGCACAGCAGGTTTGGGAGAGAGTGGAGACAGCATGGAGTTTCCTGACGCACCCCCACAGGGCGGGAAGAAGTGGGCTGGAGCGTGGATTCCATGTTCCTCCTCACATCCCCTGGCTCTCTGTTCTCTTTCCACATGGTCCACAGCACATTCTTCCACGGAGGGTGCCATTTCGTGGGAAGCAGTTATCTCTCAGGGCAGCAGTGTTCCCTCCTCTGAGGCTGTGCCCATAGGACCCTCTGCACCTGGTCTGGGCATGGGGACTCCCCCACGAAGCCCTGGGTTGAGTCACACATCCCAGTATTGTCACTCCAGGGTTGAAGACCACTTGGGCTAAAGCATGGTCAGAAGTTGGAAAACCAGGGAACCAGAGCCTCCGTGAGACCACACAGTGGGATGACCTTGAGCTTGATGGACAAGCCACAAGTCCACGAGGTCAGCTCTTCCATGCTCCTCCTGTGGCCCTGACTACAGGTCAAAACCACGCTTAAGGAGAATTTGGGGCAGCCACATGTGACCACATGTCCCAATATGCCCTAGTTCCTGAGGGACACATTGAAAACAGTCCATTGCCTTCTGGTCTATTACTAGCTGAGTGAACGGGAGTCGTTGATATTTACCCTGCTGAAGGTTTGGATGCACCTGCGTCCATTTCTGTCCTCCCTAATGGGCATCCTTCAGTGTTTCTTATAGTGCAGATCTGTTGGTGAGGAATCTCTCAGCTTTTGTTTATTGAAAATGTTCCATTTCACCCTCAATTTTGTAGGATTGTTTTCTATCCTAGGGGTTAGATATAGAAGTCTTGCTTGGCACTTTTGGCTTCTGCATTTTAGTGATGTCATCCCACTGCCTTCTGGCCTCTCTTACTTTCGATGTCAGGTGTTGTTATCTTTTTTTCTTGCATGTAAAGTGGTTTTTCTCTCATCACTTTCTAGATTTTTCTCTTCATTTTTGGTTTTCATCGCTTTAAGTACAATGTGCCCAGATATATTTTTCTTCATATATATCTTTCTTTGGGTTTCCAAGATTCTTGGATCTCTAAGTGGGTATGTTTTTTAATCATGTTTAGGAAAGTTGTTCATTATTTCTTCAAAGCATTTTCATGCTTCCCTATCATTCTCTTGTTTTCTGAGGCTGAAGTGACATATCTGATGTACTCTTTGATATTGTCTCACAGGCTCTTTTTATTTCTCTTAATTCTTCTTTCTTTCTCTTTTTCAGACTGGAGAATTTCTATTCAAATGTCTTCACATTCACCTCTCTTCTTCCACCTTCAATGTGCTGTTGGGCCCCCCAGTGGACATTTACTTTCCACTCCTGTGCTTTTCTGTTCTAGAATTCTCCTTTTTCACGGCTACCATTTCTCTGCTGAGATTCTGTATACGTTCACTCATGGAAATTATATTTTCCTTTAAATATTTGAAGTTATCTCCTTTGATTCTTTATACGTATTTACAATAGCTGTTCTAAAGTCATTGTTTGCCCAGCCAATATCTGGACCATCTCAGGTTTCATTTCTATGGATTGATTTCTTTCTTTAACTGGAAATTACATTTTCCTGTAGCTTTTTATGTCTAGTGATTTTTGCGTGTGTACTTGGAATTGTGACAATACATTTAGAGGGTGTGCATTCTGCTGTCTTTCCTGAGTGTTGATTTTTGTTCTAGCAGACAGTCTGTTTCCAGGTGCTCACCTTGAACTCATGCAGGTTTGGTTTTACACTCCGTGAGGGTGGATCTGAGGACAGTCTGAAGTGCTTTGTAAGCTCCACACCTTGGAGGGATTCAGCTTCCAGAGCGTGTCCCCAGGAAATCTGGTCATGGCTTGGCTGGGCGTCCTTAGGGCAGGTCTAGGGTACGTCTTGCTCTGGGGCTGGTCCCTACTCCTTAGATGCAACTATGTGGGATGTCAGTGGGATGCTGGTGGAGTCCACTCTCAGTCCTGTAGAAGCTTGTCAGTGTTCGTTCTCTGGACGTCTTGCCCTGAGGACAGACAGCCTGCTGTCTTCCACAGATTTACAGGGGACTCTCACACACTTACACAAAGGCTCTAGCCCCAGGGAGGACGGAAGAGACGTTGCTGGACTTCAGTGAGAGTGACTGTGTTCCCTCCCCTTGGTTGGCCAAAACAGGCAATGCAAAGACCCAGTGCCTGACTTGGCAACTCCTTGCCCTAGTCCCAAGTGACCCCATGGGGGCATCTGCAGGCCAAAGGGGTGCCAGTGGTGCTGCCCTGGACATGTGCCGAGTCGGGGCTTCCACAACCAGCCCACACCTCTCCTCTCCCCTCTCCCCAGGGGGCCCTCCACACATCCCTGGTGCACACTGGGTCTGGCTCTGCTCTTTGTGGGGGTTCCTGTCCATGCAGCAGGACCACTGGCTGTGTTCATCTCCCTTCTCTAAGTGTGGGGCTTCCTGTAGACATGGATCCAAGGTCACCCCTCCCAGAAGTTCTCTGTGACCACAGCCTTCAGTTTGCACTTGTCCTCTGGGCGATGGTCTCTGTCTCCGTCTCGGTCCCCTGCTAGTGCTGGACTCGAGCTCGAAGCTGCCATGAGATGCTGTGCTCTCCTTGGTCTACCCTGGAGCCTTCCTGACCCACTGAGGACACTGTTCCAGGACCATCGTCACACAGAGAGGGAAATTGGGAGATGCACATTTTTGGATTCACACAAACTAATTCATGTAAAATGTTAAGGAACAAGGCAGAATCCAGATGGGGCCAGTAGGACATACAGCAGGTTTCCGGGTGTAACAAG